ATCACATGGATGTTCAGTCTGAGCAGCTGGAGCTTCATTTCCTGCTTTCAGGAACAAGCTGCACATGAACGAATGAGAGGAAACTCGGAGTCTTTATTCTCTCAGCTGCAGACTCGCTGCAGGGTCAAAGACTAAAGATCAAAACAATCACTTAATATAAAAAACTGAATTCAACATTCAAAAGAAAACTAAAGAATAAAGTTTTGTGTAACAATATTTATTATTTATTATTGATGCTCATCCGGGACTTCAGACCCTCCTCCTCTCCCCACGGAGCTCTGAGGAATGTTGATGCTATTTTCTGCAGAACTGACATCATACCTGCTGATCTCTAACGTGGCGACAGAGATCAGCAGGTAGGAATATTATTTTTAGTTCTCAAACATAAACAATAAAAACAAACAAACGTCAATGAGTAAAAACGAAAGTGTCAAGAAATGAAGCGAATCACAAAAATCTGCAGGATAAAAAATGTCCTTGAAAACATTTTGCAGATTTAACACTGACAACACAAACAGGAAGTAAAAAAAAGCAATAAATAGTCAATAAATATAATCAATAAATAAAAAGATTATAAATAAACACAAAGAACAAGATATTGCTTTTTAAAAACAATTAAATAAAAAATAATAAATATTTATGAATAAGAACGTGACAACATTATGACTTTCTGTTGCCAGGCCATTTCCTGCTGCGGCTTCAAAATAAAAGCTGTACCATCAGGTTCAACTGAAGGAGCTTTTACTCTAAAGTAATAACAGCAGGAAGTGACCTCATTAAGACACGTTTCAAACTTGATTTGATTGTTTTCTGTACAGTGAACAGTAAAAAATGGCCCTGAGAGTTTGTGGTGAACGCTCCAGATGTTTCACTGAAGCTGATTAGAACTGAAACGGGACAGAAGTCGATCGGCTGTGGAGTTCGGGTTCAGATGATGACGCTGTTTTTTCCTTCTCCAGCGTCTGCAGGTGAGAATAACCTCGGGCGTGAAGCAGGTCTGGACCTGCAGCCGGCTCCTTCTTCTTCTTCTGCACCAGAATGATCGGGCACACATTCATCACATTCCTGCTGTGTGTTCCCAGCTGATCCCGGGACGATAGAGCGCTTCGACATGCTGCAACACACAAAGCAGGAAACAGAGCTCCAACAGGCTGCCTTCACAATAAAACGTGTTGGCTGATCCTGAAGCTGCTGAAGACAAGGGATAAACTTCCCGTGTGTCATCTATCAGTCTTTAGTCCCGCTGCATCACGGAGGCGGGCGCTCGTCAGGAGGTGATGATGATGAGACAAACAGTGTCAACAACTCCACGATCGATAAAGTTTCTACCCTGAATCATGCTAGCAGCTCTGATCCTGCAGTGGGCGGGGCTTAGCGCGTCCCACGAGCCATCTGTGTTTCGGCCATGTTTCTGAGGCTGCGGATCAGGTCGTGACAGAACTCGAGCAGCTGGCACAGCGTCAGGTGGGCTGCCACCTGGACATCGTAGTTGCCATGGAGATTCAAAGTCAAGTCCAGGCTGCTCTGATCCAAAGAGTCACTGCTCAGCTGAGCCGCGTCCTTCATCTGAAACACACAGCAAAGACCAAACAACTTGAATAAAGCCGAGAACTTCCTGTTTCAAAACAAGCACAAGTTCTGAGGAAGTGATGTCATAGGGTGGCAAGAAAGTGGACACGTTCCACTAGGGTCGTGTCCAAATTCATGGGCTGCATCCTCCTGAGAAC